AATTGATAATTCAACGTCAACGGGAACTTATCAATATATGCAAACAAACTGAACACGCAGAACGTGACCGGAGGGACTACCGGAAATATAATTCTTATATACATCATACTTTCATATTTTCTCCGTAATATGCAAATGAATTTTATCTAGCTTCCAGCTTAAGCTTCCAGCGCTATTAATTATTCCCTTTCATTCTTTACGATGTATTTAGCATATTTCATGTTATTACACGAAGTTATTCTCTCGGTTTATACAACGCTACTATATACGTGTCCGGCATTTATTTTCTATTTTCGATCTACATACGTCGCGGGATGACGTAGAACGTAGATTAACGATAAGTAATGACTATCGGAGTTCCATTTGGGACTCGTAAAATCGATCGGCCCTAAGGGCTAATCAGTCGGCCCCCCTTTGGTCGCGCTATTCCGTAATGTAAAACGCCCGCAGTTAGCGACCTAAATCCGCATTTCCGCGGTCGCTATACTCAACGTACATACATAACTGTGTTACTATGACACACTATATGCGCTGGCGTACGGTACGATAAATGGACACGATGCACGCGCCATCCGATCTAATCGACCGGATGAAAGTAAGTCAATCCGCCTCTCTACCCCCCCCCCTCCGCCCGCCACGTCCGCCGGCGAACTTTCGTAAGCACCCATTAGCGATCGTTATTAATTTCTTCTCCCTCTCTCCTCCCCTCCCCCGGCCTCTAGCTTCCTGCGGGAGCGAGGCTACCTATGGCGAGAACGCCTCTGCAATAGCGAAAAACGAGCTTTACAAACAACGCGGTGACGGACACGAGAGAGACGTCGAGAGTGGTCTTGAACCCCCACTGCGAGTCGAGACTGTCACTTGACGCAAGTTGTAACAAGTATATTGGCCTTCTTCTTGGCGTTCTCGATTAAGAAGATAAATGCATGTGTATAGGTCGAGAGCGTCCTGCGGTTACACCGGAATTACGAGTTGTGCCCGACTTCTATAGCGGGAGGAGATTCAAATTAACAAGTTTGAAAACGTTCGTCTCAGCCCTGCTTTTAAAATTGTTGAGCGCTGGATATCAATTGCACACAAAGTATGTAGCGTCAGCGAGTCAAAAAGCGACGATTATAAATAATCGGAAATTAATATGAATAGTATTAATCATACAGTAAAATGGATAATAAGGGATTAGCGGTGGTAACAAAGATGTGTAGAGATTTCGATACTATTTAGATTATACGATTGCGAATTTTAAGATATTGCATTTTAAGAAATGCTTAAATGTTGAATTTGCGTACAATTAAAAGCATATAATAACATAACTTTTACAATAGCTTTAACATTTATCATAAAATCTCCCAAATAGCAGTCTCTACTTATACTATTATAAGAATATTAAGAATATCCATATTTGGAAACATTATAGAAGCCACGACTGAGGCCAGTGGCACATAGAAAAACATAAGACGTAAGCACTAAGCAACGCTTTTTATAAGCAATTTCTATATTTACGTTATTGTCTTATGTTATTTGACTGTGATTGGCTTATAAGCGTGTCTACAACGAGATTTTAAGATGTAAAATTTAAGAAATTAACTAAGCACAATTGATTATTCTCCTCATATTCTATTGCAATTAAGTAATTTTTTAAATTTCAAGTCTTGGGTTTTATTCATAGTCGCTACTTATTTAAAAAAAAACTGTCTTAAGTAATAAATCTTATGATGCTAACACGGCTCTGTGTGATTCAGCTTATAACATCTTAAGATTATACTTAAGACGATTTTAAATATATAAGAACTAACTTTAAAGTAGATACCGCGTACTGCTTATGTTTTACATTTTTCTACGTGCCTGATCTTAATGATTAAAGTAAAAGATTCTCAGTATACTTTGAGCTTCAACGATCTTTACAGAAATTTAAGACTGAAAATAATTATTTTTAAAATTAAAAACACAGTTTATTAATGCTTTTTTTGAAGAGAAATCCTAGAGAAGTGGCCTAGCGAACGTATATTCGTTTCGGTAGAAATTCAAACAAAATCGGAGCAGTGCAAGGCCATGCATTGATATACCTCCGAATCTGACCGAGTTGCAGTTTAATTTTCGCGAAACGCGCGCTTGCGCCTCGGTTGGAGATGGGAGGGAAAGACAAGAAAGGCGCTACAATTACAAGGGTACGCGAGCGCAAGCAGCTGCGGCCGCGCGTGCACGCTGGAGCCCCGCGTAATCGCATGATTCGCGCAAACAATTTCCCTCGATACATGCGATGAATCCGCTCGATCCGGCTGCGTGCGACAGACATGCGGGCGTCCTGTCAAACGATACGCATCCGCGTTTGTTTTGATAACACTTTTGATACACACAGCCGCGCGATCGACCGTTCGTGTCGGCGTCGCATGCGCAACGAACGATCGCGCGCTCAACGGTATGCCCGGTCCGATCGATGTGTGCCGACCATTTTCCACGTTTTCGTACGAAATCTCTCGCAACAACCGCGGCCCTGGCTATTACGGGGGTTGTTACTGGAGCGAGGGGCCGAAGGAAGCGGGCTCTATAGCGATGTATACTGTGTTAACACTTGTCGGGGTGTTTGATTAACTAAAAAATGTAGCGTGCGGTAATTGCTGTAATACTTACAAGGGAATCTCGCGAGGTGTTAAATTCTGATTTTAATGAAACTTTGTACACGTGTGGATTACGTAAATAGATGAATTTGGAAAATATCAGTTGGGGCTAAAAACGGTTTGAAGGGATGAAATCATCCCTTACAAAGCAGTTTTCAGTTTTTTTTCGTTATGATCCGAAAACTGTTCAAGATATCAAAAAATGTTTCATACAAAAGTTTTACTTAAAGTAAAATTACCTCTATTCACTTACGTTAATAATATTTTTAAAAAACATTATCTACTGTAAATTTTACTGTAAAACTTTTGTATGATATGATAAAACATTTTTTTGATATCTTAAATAGTTTTCGTGATGTAACGAAAAAAACTGCATATAAGACTTTACATATAAGGGACGATTACATCCCTTTAAACCGTTTTTTAACAACTGATATTTTCTAAATTCATCTATTTACGTAACCTATATGAGTACAAAGTTTTATTAAAATCAGAATTTAACACTTCGCGAGATTCCCTTGTTAGATTAAACTGACTTTTATGTGCGAGGAGTAATCGAAAGATAGAATTTGTTCATACGAGTTCAGGATGTCTGGAGGAATGTTTCGGGAGTATTTCGGAGAGAGTATATGACTTTGAGGAGATTGAAAAGTTAAAATAAACTCAAGTATATGAAAAAGTTAAATATAAACCTTATTTTGGCTCGGGAGGGCCTTTGCTTATTAACAAGATATAGAATATCGCTCTAAAGGTCAATTAAGACGATCTTAATAAAACTATAAAGAATTTAGCACAACTGTGATCCCATATTGGGATAAGTAGCATGCAATTTATTTTATTTTATTTTTAAAGAAGACTTCTCAGAGTCTCCGCTTTCTCAGGAGTATACCTTGCTTTATAATCGCTGCACTAGTGCATTAGATCATTGTTTCATAAGGAATGCTATTATTAGTCCTATTTAATTCGATTCATATTATGATATTGTAGCTGTTTCTACATTTAAATTATTATAGTATATATAGACATAAATTTAGAATAGTCACGTAAACCTAGAATTAATTTATGATTCAGGAAATGCCTATTTTGAGTAGACACTTTGATAATTAATTTAGTATTTAATTCAAAATTTACGTTTTGATGTTTGATATTCCAAAAGTTTTTAATAGATAGAAAAAAAGATTTTCAAAGCATGAATTTATGTTCCATTATGTTGGAAATATTTGAAATTGAAAGCTGTCTGTGGATAATCGACAAATGATTGTAAAGCGTAAGTATCGAGGACTGTTTCAATAGAGAACACGAAAGTAGAAATTCCGTAGCATTGTCGTAAGCTTGAAAAATGTTGAATTACGTGACGCTCTCGCGATGCAATTCGTGTATATATGTATAGGTCGTAGACTCTGTCAAGATCGCATTAGACAGCAAGATCTATAATTGTCTTGTCGGCATTCTCGCCCACGCGAAGCATCCGGGTCTCTTCGCTCGATAATTAATTGAAAAGGCTATTTTTAGGCCGGCTAAACATTCGTTGTACGATTCGTTCCCGATTTAAACGAATTCTTTTGTCTCGAATCATTGAAAAAGTCAACGTACTCCCCCGTTTCACAGATTCACCACTCTATTCGCGGAATAAATCTATTCTCATTTTTTGGGCAGTATATGACTTTTCACGCCTACAAGATATACGTATAAACGGGCCGATGTGTAGAATAATATCCCACAAAAATATTGAATCGATTTTGACACAGCGAGTCAACGTGACGGTATAAATATATAACGACAGCATTTTACATACAACAATAATAAATAACATTAAATACGATACGATCGAGATTTAGATTATCTTGGTAATTCGGTTGCGATACGCTTCAGGAATATTTTAACAAATGTGACAGTTGCACGCAATTGAAATATACAAAGCTTTATGGTAACTTTCAAAATTCTATAGTAAAGAGAAGAACTTACTATAATTAAAAATTTCACAGAATACTACAGTTATCACAGACCAATTTGTCGATCTGCTTGCAAAATTTATAAATATAATAAGCAGAAAAAAGGGGAAAAAAACTTCCATGTCGTGTTTCACCTCGACGATAATTGCATTTATGAGTGTTTACATTTAAATTATAATTCAATAAAATTAGTGTATCGAAAACTCGAAAGACTATGTTAAAAAATAATATGTATACATTGCTGTGTTTCTTTTATTTTTTTAAAATAAATATTCAATTATAATTTACTTGTGAACACGCTCTTTGTATATAGGTATATATAGGTATAAGCCGCGTATATACTCCGTCCTACAATCGTGACTTGATTAATAAAATCTCTAATAAAATCTCTTGTACGTAACGGCTAACGGAGATTTTGTCTCTTGAACTGCAGGCACGCAACAAACCGGCGGATGGCGTGGGTCATGTAAACCAAAAAGGTGCTTCCGGTCAGAAAGCGCCAGCGGCCGGTCAGAAGGTCGCGCCGGGTGCTAAGGGCGCGGCGAAAGGGTCGGCCCAGAAGCCGACTGCCCAGAAAGGCCAGGTGAAAGTGACGCCCAAGGCGGCTTCCGTGAAGACCGGCAAAAACAAGAAGAAGGGACAACGACAACAATATGATCTCATCGTTACTATTAACCTGGTGAGTGCGTAACCACTAATGTTGCATTCGAAACAGTATCGTCTGGAATTGCTATTCACTCTTGTATGCAAATTTTTTTTGATGGGTTAATTCTGTTTTTATTATAAAGAAATTAGTATATACTTAGCATGTCATAAATGACGTTTTCATAAATTATTAATAAGATTATTTCGCAAAATTATATACGATCTTAATTTCGGATTCTTTGATTGCTTTAAATTATTGAGTAAAATAATAATATTCTTTGTGATATAATAAAGAAATAAAGAGTTTTTTTTCGTAAACTAAATTGTAATTAAGTAATAAAAAAATCTCGTTTTTTTTCTAAAATATATTATACCTTTTCAGAATTCTGGTACAATATAGTTAAATCATCAGTAACAATCGAAAACTGCAATTATTTCACGTTTCATAAATGACTTTTCTTAAAAATTGCCTTCCATTTGGTAGAGATTGAATTAAAATTACCTGAAGTTTAATATCTTTCTAATATCTCGCTAACGCGTCAAAACTGGCTGAGAAACATATATATATTATGCCGTGTATGCGAGTAGCTAATTTCGACCAATTATTCAGCCGGTCGTAAAATCATTAGCACGATCTTCCTAGACTATTTGCGTGAGTAGGCCACCTAATTATTTCTGTTCATAGAGGCGAGAGCTTAGAAGTTATCGGCGACGGATCGAATCGCGTCACGAGTCGCCTTTGTCAACTTAGCGTGCGCTTCGCGTAATGCGTGCACATCGGCAATAAATACGGCACGATCTGACCCAGTTGAATGCGCGATGAGCGATCGATAAGTTCCTCACGTTCGGCTAATGTTCGCCGCGTTACGCGTTGTCAAGATACGCCGTAGGAAAATAACGTCGTCTTGTCATTTAATTGGATTGGCACAATTAGCGACAGCTCCTTCGATCGCGATTGCTCTATTTTGGGATTATACACTTCCGGATAAGGCTGTTGAGAGGACTTCAAATGGATCTGATATTTGATCTTCATGCAAATTTTGCATGTGTGCAGTTCTCGCATATAATTATTCTGCATTCATTATAAACTCGTATTGTTATTATGGCTATTATTTTATAATCGCCTCGTTTCATACGTTCACAGAATTCTCTTGTCATGCACAACCGTAGAAATATTCGATTATTGAAAATTTTATTTTCTTTCATATTCTCTTGTCACATATGATTTAATTATTATATTAAATTACATTTAAAAATTAATTCTCCGCGCGCTTTTAAAAGTTTAATTTATTATTCAGAAAATTTTTTGCGTTTTATTGATTGACATTCTTCCGTGAAAATATTAAAAGTGATTTCAAGCGAATAAATTTTTATTAAGATAATTGAATTTATGATATCTTCAAACAATAGTGCATTAATTAAATAGGAAAAAGTTGTCGAATGCGTACCATTTAAATTATTTTTTTATTGAAGGAAATAAAATTGCCAATCTAAGCCGACACAAAGTGACCGTGTATAAAATAATACAATATATTAATTACAATAGTAAAATGTTTTTACTCTGATTTTGGGTTATCTTCAGTACAAAAATTGTTTGAAACGAATATAAAAAGTAATAAAAAAGTACATAAATGAAAAACATAAATAAGTCACGGTATAAATAATCGTCAAACAAATTGTAAATATCCTAGATAAAAGGAAGTATTTCTTATTAGGCATTTGGTAAAATGCTTAAGCAGTAACATCAAAAAGATAAAAACTGAAAACATCAAATATATCATGAACGATAATAAGAGGCTTCAAAATTAGAAACTAACGCACCAAATATTATTTCGCCTACAAGCTCCGTTACTTTACTTTGCGTGTAAATTAATTACATTCCTTCTTTTATACGCGTTTTTAATTTTTAGTAGTTTCTAATTTTTTCTGATTTTTCATTATTGTTTATTATTCGTTATTCTTAGTTTCTATTTTTTTGACGTTACTGCTTATAAGTATTTTAAAAATGCCTAATAAGAGATGCGAAAACGCCAACACGGTACAAAACCGAGCTTGGTGCTTGATAACATTATACTATGTGAATCTTACAATTCAACATAATCGATCTTTAAAACGCAGCTCCGAACCGAATAATATTATATGCTATTGCAATCGTGATATATTTATCACGATTAAATTGCCAAGGCAATCTAATAATTCGATGCTTATGAAGCATCTTTTTAAATATCCTATGAAAATAACTTATTGCGAAAAATCTTCAGTCAAGATTTGAACTTGGATCTCCATGCTCTTCGGGCGGGTGTCTTATCTTCGACCACCGAGGCATGTGATAATATTTATCACAATAACCAAATGAATTAAGAAAGAACGTCTTTCAACGGCGACGTATATAAATAACTAAGTATCGACCGTGGAGTGTTACAATTGAGATGCGAAAACATCAGTATGAAGCGGATCTTGGTGTTTGATAATATTATAATGTGTGAATCTTAATAATTCTCAGTTCAGGCAAACTACGCGCCGCATAATCGTTAATCTTTGAAACGTAGCTCCAAATCGAATAGTACAATTAAATTGCCAAGGCAATCTAATTGTGACGATGCAGCGCGCAATTTGCCATGACCTGAGAATTATAAGATTCACATATTATAATATTATCAAGGACCAAGATCTATTTTGTACCGTGTTTGGCATTTTCGCATCTCAATTGTTTGTAACACTCCACGGTCCTGATAGTTTAGTCTAATAAGAGATGCTTCCTTTTATCTTTGCACAAATTAAACTGGATGACCACACACCATGTTTACAATTTGTTTAATGATTATTTATACCGACTTATTTATGTTTTTTATTATCTTTATATTCGTTTCAAACAAGTTCCGTACTGAAGATTTCTGTACTGCCCCAAAATCAAGGTTGAAATGTTTACTATTATAATTAATATATTGTATTATTTTACACACATTTACCTTGTGTCGGTTTAGATTGGCAATTTTATTTTCTTCGATTTATTTCGTTTGAGTCTAATTATTTTCTGTAATTAGTATTTTTTTATTATACATATTTTGTACGTTGTATGATTTATACATGAATGACCATTGGAAATTATAGATGTTTCAGGCATCTATCATTCCATACTAAACTTTTTACCAATAATAAATTAATTTAAAATATTTGTTATAAGTCTTTGTAACATGCTGCCAGAAGTTTGAAAAAATCGATCGCCTAAATCATATCCGTGAATCTTCTAAATCACATTTCCTTTGAAAATTTATAAATAAAAATAAAATATAAGAAAATTAAAAATATAAGATTAATAAAAGGAATCATTAACTAATAATCTTTTGTTATAATTATCTAATTGTAATAATTTAATGAAATATTTAATAATTAATAAATAATAATAATAAGAAAAGGTAAAGATATTGAAGTAAAACCAGCTTAAATTTATGTTTGCAATTGACATTTGTATTTATATTGTCAATTATTAGTCTTACTTTGTAGTGGCATAATTTAGGAAACTTGATAGATTTTATAAAAATCTCGATTAAATTCATATAATAATTGCAGATGTTCTACAATAACCTTCTTTTACAAAAATATTAAAATTCAAAATAAAAATGCACAATTACATTATTATCAGTTGCAGTTCAATTAATCAAAAATTAACGTAGGTGTATTTGATTTTTTAAAGTGTTGTTAGCACACTTAAAATAAAACATGATCTATTAAATTTTTGTCTGCAATTAATATTTATTTCCCATTTATTTCATATTTTTGTCATTAAATGTTAATATTAAATAATATGAAATATGATGAGGTACGATTTTTAAGCAACTAGTACGCATTCAGAAATTGCCCTTTTACTCTTGCTAAAATTGTATTTTCTTTTATTTATTACGCTATTAATTAGAAGTGTGCGAATAGTTCGAATTCAAATCAAAGCAAATCGAATCACAGTAGATTCGATTCGAGTTTGTTTTTGAATTTGCAAAATTTTAAATCAAATAGTTCGAGAATTTCGAATCAACAATGGTTTGATTTCGAATCGATCGCCTATTTGGTTCATTTACATCTCCCGCGCGACCAATTATTCTTATCTAATAAATAAGTATTTTTCATATATGTAATGTATTCATATGGATTAATAAAATATTCGAAAGCATTCTAATTATTCGTTTATACACATATTATTAATATTTTCTAGTTCAAAATGTCACATAAGGTCATGATCCTTTGTAATGAGATGTAAATCGAAAACAGGTCTTCAGTTTGTTTAAAAATCATTGTTGTTCAAAATAATGTAAATCATAAATTTTGATATTTATTACGTTTAAATTAACATGTAATGTTAATCTGAAAATTTGATTCAGATTCGATTCGATTCAATTTGACCATGCAAATGTTTGATTCGCACACTTCTACTATTAATATTATGCTATTAATTAATGTTATTACTATTAATATTATGCTAGATCTATTATATGTCTGAATGTCTGCATACGGACAAGCATCAGGAATAGAAATACACGGATCTTTCGAAAGACGAGAAAAATATTTATATACTTGAGAGATCAACGAAAGTATTTTGATTAAAGACAATATGATGCGCGAGTGATTGTGCCGGAAGTTTATTCCCGTACTCGTTAACCGCGCGAAGTGCACACGACGAAGGAAATATCTGTCCATTGAAACGCGCGTCAGGCGCGGGGAAGGGAGTAGCTCACCTAAGCGTCTAACCGTAGAGGGGACCTGGTAGTTAAAAACAGACTAAGGTTGCCAAAGTCCCAAACATACGCGCCTTTGTCATCGTGCGGACATCTGCGCGTTCGGGAAGGCTTGCCGCGGTTGCAAGCGCGCGTCTTCTCCTTCGTTCTCGAGGCGTATCAACGCGAAGTTAACGTGTATTAACGAGGTGTGTTCACACGCGACCGCGAAAGTTTAAAGAGCGAGGAGGAAAGAAAATCGAATCGATCGGCTGCTCGTTCCACGCGACTTCATCGAATCGCGCGATCGAGGCGCGCGAAGTTCATATTTCCAAGCGCGCGTTTATTTCTCTATGCCACACGTCGGCTATTTTTACTCATCCGCGAGCTATCACATCCTCGAATAGTGTCGCCCATGTGTGATTGCCGCGGAATATCGTGCACACGGTCGTTCGATCCGATCCGTGCGATCGTCGCTTTCGGCGTGTCGAAATTTTATCGGGGAAAAAACGACGAGACGAGGATCCGCGTCGGCCTTGGAACCGCCTCTCGATCGGCCCAAACGTTGCGTTCTCTCGATTTTATCCATTCCGAATGAACGGAAGGTAATCGTGATCGACGGCAATGACGAGAAGTCTGAGCGTCTTTTTGGGATATGTCGTATCCCACCATCTCTGTCTCTCTTTCCCGGCACCAGCTAGCGAGTGTCGGCCTTGAGGAAGCTCGTAGTCGATAAATATTAGTTTGGTTCCGAGCAGCTTCCGACGGATCCGTTCCGTCGCGCCACGCCGTCGCAAATATATGCGTGTTGACCTCCTATATCGGGAGATCGCGCGATAAAAGTGCGGTTTACTTCTTCTTTATATATACGCAACGACGGAAACGTCGCACATAATGCGCTTGTAATGCGGAAGCGAAAAATCGGTCTTCGACGGCGACTCGACGACGGTGATCGCGATGGAGGCACAGATGTAGCGCGACGGAATCCGTATAGTTAATCGTCTCGTGTAATCAACGGACACTTCCGGCGTGACTCTCGAGCATGGCGGAGACAGAAAAGAGATACACACTCGCGTACGGACAGCTGCGTAGATTGACCAGCACGATAGACGGTCAAATTAGGCAGTTGAGTGTAAGTAAGAAGAAATACAAATCTCTCTGGATTCGCGAAAACCTAAACGCGTACGTGACTTGTGTGAAATTAAAAGAAGAAACCTTTTGTGCATGAAAAAATCGTGAAAATATCGTTGAAGTACACGCGTTCGCGAGCAACCAATGTGCATGAAAAAATCGTGAAAATATCGTTGAAGCACACGCGTTCGCGAGCAACCAATTGCGCCGTTTTGTCGCGAGACTCGCTATCACGTTGCGACACGTTATTATTAATAATTCATTACACGACCTCTCTTCGCGCGTCGGGAGTTTCTAGCGTCGGGCATCTCGCCAAAATTTCTTCAATATCTTCTCTGTATCATGCGAGAGCAGATCATAGAAGAGTAATAGTTAGAGCAAGGTCATTCGCCCATAATTAAGAGGCAATATCTTTGGATGCCGCTTAGCGCTCTGCATGCATTCTTGGGTATAGCATATATAAGAAACATGATTTATAGATGCAAGACAAAATTGCGTTATGCATATACGAAATGACAGGGTGTTTGTGCTTTTCTTTGTTTCAGTCCGAATATGGACTCACAGAAGATCAGGTAGCAGGTGAGTTGACGGTCTTATAGATAATTCAGTAATTATGAAATAAGCTAGATTATAAAGTAATTAATAAATCGGCAATAATTAGTTTTTTCGTGACCTAATTTCAAACATTTGTGAAATTTCTGAAATTTACTTTCACGCTCGCGCGCGCGCGCGTGGAAAGAATGATTTTGCTGGGTCATGAAAATAATTTTGTTGGAAACTCAAAAATGATGAGCATTGCTATAAAATTTTTTGATATTTTAGCAAACAGTTTGAATTTCTAACAAAATTATTTTCAGATCTATATCCAGCAAAATTGTTCTTTCCGCGCAATACTTTGTATTATACAATTGTATAAAATACTTTGTAATATTAACGATTTCTTAAAATAATGAATATCTTTTTTGCGCAAATTATATCGTTATTTTATTCATTTTGTTTATGTAAGAATGACATTTTGAATGCGCCGTCAGATACATGAGACATAAAATTGATCGTTAATATGTGGTGTAAGTGCGTGCCAGTTGGCAACAGTTTTTCCTGTTTACCTAATATCTCGATGCTGAGTCAGTTAAATAATTTAAAAGGCAGAACATAGTAGATTCAAAAGATACTGACAATGAAAGTTGTCTTGCTAGATGATCTAAACGAATAAGCTCGCCGAACGATAAATAATTGATGCACAGTTTACTACGCCCGGATGGCTCATTATTTCTAATGACATCATCGTTGACACGCGATGATATTGATTATATTTAACTCACGATCTACCTTACTGCGACTTTGCATTCTCCTAGTTATAATCTTGTCCTTCATAATATTACTGAATAGAAGCTAGACGAAAGAATCGACATCAAAAAACCTTCCCGAATTAATTTCATTTCTAGTTCTGCAATATAATTATAAATACATACGATATTCTTTTTACTTTTTTCTTTTAATAGTTAAATAATTTAAATATCAATTTCTTGATATTAAGAAGAATTCTTTGCGTAAAAAGTTGTATGTAAAATAAGTTACACCAATCTGAAGTTTAAAAATTAATTTAAAAATTGAATTTGAATTTAAATTTAATTATATAAAATTGATTTTAAATAAACTGTAACTTCTGTTAGAATTCAAAGTAGAATTCTGTTTATAATTGTATGTATCTTTTGTTATATATAAAAGATATTTGATAAATCAAAACGCACGCAATATATATATATATATATATATATTGCGTGTATATTATATATATATATATATATATATATATTTATATAAACATTTAACTGCGCGGACATAAATAGAATTCTATCATGAAATCATAACGACACGAATTATAAACTAGTTTAGAGTGGGGTTTAATTAACAGAAATGATCAATATGTAATAACAAAAATGACACAAATTGCGTGCACGTGTGTACTACATGTTTTCATCGGGCTTTACAATTAATCAGTGCATAATGAGACTCCCGAGAAGTTTCAAACGATCGCACCAAACAATAACTATTTGTCTCGAGTACGGTAATGATCGGCACGATAACGACGGAGAAATTCCTCGTTATTACAGAATTCAAAGAGGCATTCATGCTGTTCGACAAGGACGAAGATGGCACGATTACGATGGCGGAATTAGGGGTCGTCATGCGGTCTCTCGGTCAAAGACCGTCGGGTGAGTAATTTGCACCACCACCGCGAATCTCGGATGCATTCAGGATGCATCCGAGTGAATGCCCGGAACGGAGCGGTGTATAAAGTAGGCGGCAATACCCTTCTTTCAGAGACGGAATTGCGCGATATGGTGAATGAGGTGGATCAAGATGGAAATGGTACCATCGAGTTTAACGAATTCCTGCAAATGATGTCGAAGAAGATGAAGAGCGCCGACGGGGAGGACGAACTTCGCGAGGCGTTCCGGTAATGAACTCTCTCCGCTATATGTACAATATATATATGTATATAAGAACTCCGAGTACCTAATTGCTCCTGGGACAATTGCATTGAAAGAATGTCCCGTGACTTTTGTCCGCGGAGAGAATAGTGCTTTTAAGATGTAGATAAGCTTGTGGCAATTTAGCCACTTAGCTCGTTTTCCCCTTTTAGAGTGTTCGATAAGAACAACGACGGCTTAATATCCTCGAAGGAGCTGCGACATGTAATGACGAATCTCGGCGAGAAGTTGTCCGAAGAGGAGGTTGACGATATGATCAAGGAGGCGGATCTGGATGGCGATGGAATGGTCAACTACGAAGGTAACGTGTTTTTCTGCCTGCCTCTATGTTCAGAATTTATCTAGACAACGTAAAGTCTAAAGTCGGGACATGAGACGTCTTTTAGATGTTTCTCGCAAATATATCTTTTAGACGCCTCATGTCCCGATTTTGGACTTCGTGTTGTCTGGACATCCTAAGGAACTTAATTTATGCCATTATTTCCATGCATTATTTCCATAATGCGGCTGTTAAGAGATATTAATAATAAATGTAGCTATTCCCCCCTACCCCTCCATATTAAATAGAATGCTATTATATTTGAGTCTTTTGATAACGGAGGCAAATGAATTTTACTAAATGTTGCTTTTGTAATCTGCAAGCAAACATTAAAATAAAATTAGATAAAAAGTGCCACAAAAGAGGCATTAATCTATATACTAAATTTAATTAATCTGTATATTAAAAAATATAGAAAAAGTATATTTAGTATTATGATACAAAAATGCTATCATAAAATTTGGCGCAACTTATAAACCGTTTAAAGTAATAAATAAAAACTATAAATAAAACATTAATAAATTGTGTGTGCATATTATATGTCTTTAGCGTGCTTTTTGATTAAGAATTAATTAGTGTATAATAAAAGATATGTTCGTGAATATTATATTTCATATAAACCTTATAAGTCTGATACTCGAGTTTATGAAATAACATATAACATTTTTGCATAAATGTTATCACAGATTATTAAATTGTACATTGAACTATGCTAATTAGGACCAATTGTGTTTCAGAATTTGTGTCGATCCTAATGTCGAAAAATTAGTTCGGGGATCAAAGGAAGGTAAAAAAATCAGAGATACCTGAAAAGTAACGAAGGATCCGCGACGAAGAGAAAATAAATGGATCCGTCACCCAAGTTCCTCGATTTCGTAGGATCGTAAAGAGAACTCGTTTCATGCCCCATGAGACTATCGCATCCGAGGCCGTCGAGGGAAAAAATCAAAAAAGCTCGACGACCGATTGACCGGCGGCATGTCACAACGCTGTGAGATCGCGAAAGCGAATCGCGCAAAACCACATACCAATTTTAACCCTATTTATAGCTAAGGCTTCGCGAGCGACGCGTGTCGAAGGTTTCGCGCGTAAGTAGCGCAGGTAGAGAATTGGGCAGGCATTTCGGAAGTCTTTGCGGCTTCGAGAGCGGGACGCGCGTGTCCCGTCGCGAACAGTAGAGCCTTCGCGGCTCCATGGCCCGGGAAAAAAACCGAGAGGAGAGACTTTCTTCCGCGAAAAATTTTGCACATACGTACACGCATTACACAGATATACACCTCGCGCTCCTTCGGACTAATTTTAGACGAGTACTTGAAGTCTTTAGGGTAATAATACGGTAAACGGTAAAATAAAAAGAGAGTATGTCCAAACGACGGGGGGGAGGGGGAAGGGAGGCGCGATCCACCGCCACCCGGAACAATCAACCGAGCTTCGTTTAGACTTTTACGTACCTCTAAATCTTTATCTCCCCGGTAACTTTACGGAGCGGAGAATTTAGGAGTTATACCTATAGCTTTCCACGCCTCCCCTTTGAGCGCCCCCACGAGAGAAAGTCCAGAAGTATATACTATAGTATACACGATATGTTTACGTAATATACATATATATATACATATACAATATATATACATATATACATATGTTATTATATTATTATTATTATTATTATTATACGATATTCCTTTTGCGTCGCTCGTTTCCTTGAAATGCGACGCGCACGAAAGGTGCCGTAACTTCGAGTGTTTTTACCGCTTGTACTACACGCAAGAGACCCGCGCAAATGCCCAACGTAGTGATACACACACACATAAACAAATAAACAACAAACACACGACACACACATACACACACATACACACGTGCGCGCGCGCGTACACATCCGTCTCCCGTCCTTTGCCGTGGCTCCCTCTCCTCGCCATCACTTCCTCGATTGTTAGTAACTTTAGAACGCTGATGACACGCTGAAGAGTGATTGGCACACTGGCGCTTTCGCACGTAGCGTGAATACCGGCCGATAATCGTGGTGGTGCCGCGTTTCTGTAATCGATCACCCGTCGATGGATAAGTGTGCCCCGGTTGAAAAGGTGTTTTCGAAAGCCGAGATGCAGTCTAAACTCTAAACGCTCAAATTATCGCGATTCCTGCATGTGGGAACAATTTAAGCGAAGCGATTGCTATCTAAGAGCACGAGATTTCGAAAGATGTTCGCATGGTGTTCACTTCTTGGTTGTCAAAGGAATAAATCTCACGACCTAAACGGGATTGTTTATCCGCGGGCTCTCGCTCGGTGAAATCGGAATTAGACGGAACTGTGACTCAAATCGACAATCCCTCCGTTACATACCCAATGACTATAGTTGCCATTGTGATAATTAACACCCTCGTGCCTATGGCCATTAGGTATGCGGGCAGTGGCTTTTAGTATAAGGATATGAAAAGAGAGAAAAAAATGGACCCTTGCACACGGGAACAATTCAATTCAGCAAATACAGATTATAACTGCGATGTTGCAGCAACATTGTAACATTCCAGCTATATCCAGAAATATTACGATGTTGCTGTAATATGTATTGTAGTTACAATCTGCGTTTGCAACCAGGGTGATTAATCGAAGCGCGAGCACTCCTTCATTTGTGAATGTAGGAGGATTGTAAGTATTGTAACATCGCGATCTCTTGAGAGAGAAAGAGAGAGAGAGAGAGAGAGAGAGAGAGAGAGAGTGAGTTGAAAAGAAAAATGTGGCACGACGTGTGTTTCCGCTGTCGCACAATCAGTATCGCTCGCCGCATCGTCGGCATCCGAATTCAGGATTAGCTGCATGTAAGCTACGTGCGCGTTACGCGGTATGTATGTATCTTTAGACGTGTTACATAAGAGGGGAAAAAAAGCCCTGCGCGTTAGCACGCGTGACATAGACCCGTAGATAGTACCTAACGATCCGTAGTGGCATATAAAGGAAAAAGGCGGTCGCAAGTATAAACGGCGGAGCTGTATACACGTGGATTATTATATATACATATACTATATACGTGATGATGTTGCTACCACGAAAAAGAAGAGAAAAGTATGTTGTAGCTATAGTTATATATATGTATATATATATATATATATATATATATATATACACATATATTTAATACACTGTATGTACGTATGTCCTCTCTCCGCCACCCGCGCTCCACACACATCACGCCCGCCCGCACGCACGCACGCACGCACGCATGCACGCGCGCGTAGTTCGATCTGACACGAAGCGGTATAGTTGAAGACGCGCGATAGGTAGCGCGAGTCGCGAGAGGGACGAGAGAGATCGAGAAGTGATAATAACACGCGAGCGCATCTGTTGCGTACTATCAATCGGAGTAAATCTGTTTTCCACTTTGCGCGCGTGATGCGTTCCATTATTTCGTTGATTCTTCTATTACTTGTTCGTGCCTACAGTCGATTTTATACATCATGATTCTTCTGTGTGTTTGTCTTAAATACATATACCGATCATAATTTGTGAACCTTTAAAAGATTAGATTTCTTGAGACAAAACGTATGTATGCATGCACGTATATGTGTGTTTGCGCGCATACATTCTTCATATCGCTCTATGCCAGAAAAGTGGCATACATAAGAAAATTAGCTTCTTTGAGATAATGAAAAGGAATCGATCTTTAACTTTTAAGTTAAACCTTAAAGTTTTCAGGGCCGATTTCCTTTCATCATTTCGAAATAATAATTTTTGGTTTATGTCATTTTTCCATCAACGGAACGATCGAGTAACTTTTATTAATCAAATGCTCAGCATTTGATAAAGATTTGATTAAGAAAAGTAACATATTTGACAAATGTTTAGCGTTTGAGTACAAAAAATTGCATTGCGAATCAATCTTTATTTATGCTCGAAAAGATTATCTGATGTGTGGAATATGTTCTAAAATTTTTGTTAATTTTTTTAAATTTTGTCAATTTTTAATGAGCGTTCACAAATTGATATCGTTATTTTTTACTTGCATTTAAACTGATAAAGTAAAGATAAACTTTAATGGGATTCTCCTTCACATAACAATTACAATTTCTTTTATCGATTTTTACAAGAGTGTGAAATACTATACTAGCTATGTAAATAAAAATTTCTGGTAATTTTTTAAGAAAGAAGAAATATTAGAATAATTATTCAAATTTCGACTATATCCAAATATTATCATTAAATAAATCAATAAAATATACAAACCGTTATCATAATACATAAATAATTAAGAAAAAGTTCAGGCATACGAATTGAAATGTTTCTTTTTTACGTTCCCTAATAACATAATTCATTGGCGCAATATTGGCCCAATATATCCCCATGCATGCTAATATTTAACCAATATATCGCCAATGAACTGTGCTACTAGGGTTTATACGTTTTCTCTCACGCATCAATCTGCATTTCGCATTTTTTTTTTAAATTTAGATTTATTAACCTCTTTCAAAGTAGTTAAAAGTTTCAATACCGTATCGTGAATAACATACGAAAAAGTCATTGTTTTAGAACCTTACCGATTGACTGTACGTACGTGCGCTAAAAGATGAAATGGAAGAAAGAGAGAGAAATAGTGAAAAACAGCTCTTTTCTAGAAGAGAATCCGGGTGAAACGCGTGTGTTTCGAGATCCGGGCAACTTGATCACTGCTCTTTCCAAATACGAGCGAAACGTGAAAGCCGATTGCGGCCTTGGAGCGCTCGTCGGACAAAAACGATGATTGCGGATGCACAGAGACAGACAATAAATTCTGCTGCTCTCTAATCTGACCGATCGACGATTATAATTGACACGGCGAGCCTATCGTATTATCCGCGGTGCGAATGCGCGTTCATTTCGAAAGGATGGCACAACAGCGATGGGAGTTCAGGTTGTCGAGAATGCGAGGGATCTCGATGAGAGATTTGATAGATATGCGATCACCTGTACGTTTGGCGCGTGACGTCAGATTCAGGTATATTATTTTCGCAAACGGAAACGGTGATTCTTGATAGAGCCATTGATTTCAAACAAGCAACTAGAAACGCGTGGGCGGTTTTACTGAGAAAATCATCTAAATCAAATTCTGAAGCGATCAATTCGAATAAGAGTACGCTTGACGAAAAATCACCCCTATATAATTATCTTAATTAAATTAATCTTAATGTACCTGTCTCTAGATCTTCAGAATTTGACTTACATCGCATTTTTAGGGTAAACAGTTCACGTCGCGCCTCCGATAGATACTGCCACATCGTGATAAAAAAAATACTTATTTTTGGATTTAAGTATATTGAATTAATTTATAAAAGAACAGCTTTAACACTTACAGGCAAAGAAAAAATTCGAAAATAGAAAATTCGATATTACTTTCATAAATGAATGTTTTCTTTCTGAATTAATATCTACTTTTTAATCAATTCAACAAATTATAACGCTATTTCCGGAAGCTTATTGTTTAGACTATTAAATTTGACAGTCTTGTTTTTTCATTGATACATTGTAGTTTACGAAGCGAGATAGAAAGGGAAGGCGTGCTTGTGTAACCGACGTTCGTAGACAAAGACGCTTCAACACGCGAAACATACCAGCGAGAATATAGTCGCGTTTTTGACAATAATATATTTTCTTAACGCTTACATATCTCGAAGCGAGATCTGTCCCACCGCCCCAGTGTCTTTCTTTCCATTGGGATAGCACACCGTTCAACAACAAACACACGTTACGTTGACTACGCTTTTCGAGATCTGCCGAGATTGCGCGAGATGATCGACTTACGCTATTCCTAACGAACGCTCGGATCTCCCTCGTATTCGATGGTAATGCTAGGTGATCTGAAGAGCACACCGCGACTCTCGAAACTCGAAACACCGCGGCCTGGAAGGTCAGGCACCCGAGCGATCAAATCAGCACGGCGGCTGCACGCTGAAGCAGAGAAAGGGAGAAAGTAAAGCGTCAGCTTGATAATACGTCACAAATAGCAATGTATAACGTCCGAACGACAATATCTCTAATGGTTTAACTGGAGAACTCTTCCGGTAAGAGCTACCGGATTAACAGATTATATTACGCAGATCCGTTCCAAGCAATTAAGTATCCTGAAATTATATACCTATACAACGCCGACAATGAGATAAGCCCACTGCACGTCGACGGTACGTGTTCGCTATTTGTTCGTCGCAACGTCACGCACGTTAGATTTCCTACTGTCCGTTTACGCATTTCTCCAGCTCTCATTGAACAATGATACCCGCGAGTTTGTTATGTGCGATTGGCAGAAGGAACGAGTTAATGGAAGAAAGGCACGGCCAACAATGGCAGTTATTAATTGCCACGTAAGCAAGGATCATAGATTGGAATTATTGATCCTTAAGGATAACTCCACGATTCTAGTAATTCGAACTTTTCTTTATTGTGAAACTTTATGGCAAAATTTTTTATGAAATGCTTCTCTTTTATCAAATCTTACTGCAAATTTTTTGTCATTTTGCTAATCACAAACAAATGTAATGTTTGAATTAAACAGATATTAAAATCTATCTTTTTTTATACTACTAAAAAAGTTATCCTTGGGAATCAGAACAATTTTGATACGTAACTATTTTCAATCCTGACGAAAATAAACATCGGAGCGTAAGTCAAATGTAAAAAGAGAGTAACAGGAGCGTAAATTGAAACAGTGGAACGTAAACGAAGTATAAGAAAAGACGTTTTAAAAAGTAAACTCTTCCTTTACATTTCGCCGTTCAAATTTACGCTTTCTAGAAGTTTCGTTTACGTATCTGTCACTTTTCCTCTACATCGACTTTACGCTCCGATCTTTATTTTTGATAGAGGACGTGTCAAGGTTTCCGAAACAATTTTATGGCTCTGAAAACTTTGTGTGAAAATTTTGTATACGTGCGTGTATACGATATGAATTCGCCTAATTTTTTCGTAGTATCGGTGACGGTGCGACGCGCGTAAGTGTAAGTACAAAAGGGATTGTTGACGTAAGCATGCAGTGAGTTTCTATGTTACCATATGCATAAGAAGAATGGATTGTTCGACGACACGATAAACAAGAGAAACGTTATCGCGAAGAAAAAAAAAATGCAAGAATCGTGTCCGTACGCTCAAAATGCAGCGTAAAGCTTTTTAGATTTTAATTATATGAACGCACTTTATATTTGTTAAAAATGATAATTGTCCTAACTACTTGAGGGGTAAACAAAGTCAATGAGTATTTGCTACATTTACGCAGAAAGGTAGACAATTGTTATATTATATCCGTCATTTTAAACATATTTTATCGATACAAAAATTGACAATGAGATGCCCATATTGTACCACCTTAGTCACGTAATCTGATTGTTATTACTACGTGGTACACAAATTGTTCCTACCATCCTTCAATGAGTCAGGAGTTCAACGTTCTTTGCTTGAAGTGAAGAATTCTCTCTCTCCCCAGTCCCACACCCCTCGTGATTACGTTTCTGTTCGGCGCGAGAGTCGATTTCTCGTACAGCTTCAAGATATTTATTATTATATTATCGTTTGCTCCAGAGCAGAGATATTTTTATAGATTACACTTTACGCCAAATCCTGCTGTGCAGCGTAATACGAATCATACGACATTGCGTTGCAATGCATTGCATTGCATTGCATTGTATTACGTACATTTTTTACAGGGTGTATCGAAGGTCGCGTGCGCTTTTTTTCTGTCATGGGTATATTGCGGATCGAAAAGTCGCAATAAATTAAAAAAACAAATTAAATTAATTTAACACAAGAAAGAAAATAAAAAATAATATAATTTTTTTTATCTCGACCGATTAATTTTTGTACTTTGACAGATTTTTTTATTTAATAATTGAGTATTTGTGGAATCTAATGAAATTTTCGAATTAATATGTAGCACACTAAACATTTGTCGTACTATCTCGTGCAGAAAGAGAGTGCAAGCTACTTGATACATCCTATGCACGGTTACATTGTATTGTATTATTACATATATACATATATGCGTGTGTATATATACATATACACGCATATACAAGTTATATATTCTCTATCAAATTGTTTTGCGAGCTGGCAGCTCATGAAGCAGCTAACGAATGTTCTTGACGGCCGCTCGCAGACC